TAATAATTTAAAACAACACAAATTCTACAACATGAACTTAAATACATTATATATTATATAACTAAGGCTAGTTCCGCCAACAACCCGTCACCCAACTATAGAAGAGCCAGATACTCACTCGTGCCTATTAAGTATCTTTTCAACCCGGCCCCATACCTAATCAGTAAGATAAATTCGTGCTCACTGCAGATATAATGAATTATACACTTTTAAGTGCTATGAATAGTCGTATGTAGGAGAAAGGACCTTGATTGAGACTGACAAGATTTATAGTAGGTTCTTAAGATGTTAAGATGTCACACAAGGGTTTCAACTTTACTAAGTAAAGTGTAGCATCTCAGATACGTTGATATATTGTGGTAAGGATAGAGCAGATTTCGGAAATTTGTAGTATAAATGTTTGCTGCATGGGGATATTTTATTTGTAGGCAGTAAATTTAAATCAAACCAATAAAAACATAATTTAATTTAATGTTCAATATTTCGTTTTACCTATTCTAAAATAAGCATTGCATAAAATGCATTCAATACGCTATCTTGATGCAAACAATCAAACATCACAATGGGTCATTCATTTGGTCAACTAAATTACGCTAAATGGTGATTGTAGGTATTTTTATCTCAGCCTATGCTTAAGACAATAAAACAAATATAACGGCTCTATTATTATTTTAGAACATTCTTATAAACTTGTTTACATTTTGTTGCAGCTTTTTACCACTGTATAGACAGAGGATTGCAGGATTATTTTAACGTGTTTGCTGTCACAATGTGTCTGGTTTACTCCAGTAATGTGTCAACGTCGTCGTATTTTACTGCATATTGGACGTTTCTTTGGACAGGATGAATAAGTTTTCACAACTCCGTGGTCAGATTTTTGCATTAAGATAATTCATTGTGTGCTAAATAAACTATGTAAAGTCTCATTGTGACTAAATGAATTATTCATTATTCTTATCCACATCGTTTTCAACTTTAAATCACAACAAGCACAGAAATTATTAAACATTGGATGAATTTAATTTGATCTGCGGTCCCGATGTAATATTTTTTTAATATAACTATACACTCCATTGCTTTTAATCTGTACATAGTGGGCTTTGAATCTAATTACATTTAAATTAACGCTTCTCAATCATTGTGACCAACAGTAAAGTGTAAACACAAACTCACGCTTAGTAATGTTTGGAATTATTTGTCCAAACCTGAAACCTTCAGTATAAAGAAATACAGAAATACAGACCACAACGGCCCCTTGTGAATAAACTATTCAACAATTTGGTCTCAGGCGCGCTCGTGTTATTTGCATCGCCTCTCTAACTTTTACTTTTTTAATAGCACCAGAAAAAGTTTTGAAAAAATAATTTAATGTAATTTTACAAAATAATTTATATTGATGGAGTTAAAAAGTGCCTCGATAGCAAAATACGGCAAAATAAATGTGCTTTTTATAATGGTTTAAGTAGGTACCTACATTCAGTAATCCAAACTGCTGCTTGTGGCAACTGCAGTTTCGGTTCATCAGCCAAGAACCATCTTCAGGCCATACAAAGTGTCGTTCAGGTTATTTACCTCCTTATATGAAGGTCGATGTTGCCTCATGCAGAAATTTGGATTACTGAATGCAGGTACTTAAACCATCTATATATATAATACGCTAAGCCGATTTTTGTAAACAGTACTCCTCCCTCATTTTTGGACCGATTTTGATGATTAAAGTGTCAAAAGAATGGCCCTGATATGTAGTTTTGCAAAATCGGCTGCCCGCTTACTTTCTTAAAACATTGAATGAATATTAAATACACAGTCAGTATCCATAGCAATGCAATGCAATAGAATTGTTTTATTGTCACCGCTGCTTAGCAACTACTTATTATTACTTTTGCTGATTCCTCAAATTATTTCTTCACATAACGACTATCAGTGTGCATTATTATTGTGGCGAATAGTGGTAATAGGGTATAGTGTGGTGCTCACTTGGTTTGGATTTGCTTTCAAAACGTGATCGGAAATGGTTGCGTTATTTGTAAACAACATTCAATGTAAACATATCAGTGACAGCTAGAATAAATAATCTTGATCTAGAATTACAAGGTTTACCTTACCTTATAGTAAGGTGTTACCTCGATAGGTATAACACAGCTGTTCGTTATTTCATAGATGATTAAGTGATAAACATTGGGAGAAAACTTGACAAAAATCGCCTGAAATTGTCTATTTACAAAGCAGTGAGGCCATATTGTAGCTTAAGACACTCTCGCCAATCCAGTGAATACATTACAATTATTTGGATCTTGATAGGTACTCTCGTTTTTCAGAAGGCCGCGTAAAATGGCTCTTGGGCCGTGACAGACAGACAGAAATTGAGATGAGACTTGTTTCGGCTTCTTTAATGTATAAAACGTAAAAATAACCTAAAAATTTATGATTATGAGCAATAGACAGACAAAACTCTACTTTTATTTATATAGATAGATACGCTATAATATAATACGCTAAGTTGATTTTTGTGAACAGAACTCCTCCCTCATTTTTAGACCGATTTTGATTATTAAAAAGTAAAAAATTGGCCCTGATCTGTAGTTTTTCAAAGTTGTTTTCATTTTTTGAAATATTTATTAGTTTGGGCAGGATCTTCCATCGAAGTTGGGTTTTCTCCCATAAAGTTAACATGGAGCCATACTAATTTGTGAGATCGGCTGGGCGTAGAAGCTTGGTAGACGAGTCTAAAGAATTTTTTTTGTATGTAGATGAGCTATCAAAAGAAAAACGAAGTAAATTCCCTTGGGGTTCTGCCCCAGTGGCCTTTAAAGTTCCCTCCCCAGATTTGTTTACATTATGGCCATATGGATATAATTTTACACTACTTTTTAGCGAATTTCCCATATAGGGAATAAGCTATTACTGTAGGTCTCATGGTAAAGACCTATACCCGGGACCGATTTACTTTCCGTTTTGAGGTCATATGTGTCCGTTAGCACGATAACTCAAGCAAAAATGATCCGATTTTGATGAAATTTGGTACAAACGTGTAAAACTACGTTTATTTGAACGAGTTCGCGAACCAGCATAATCGGACCATGGGAATAGGGGTTTAGGGGGGGGGGGTTTAATGGGGCAAAGCAATTCGTAGGCAGCGCCACCAGCGTTGCGATGCTGAGTGCATGGCAACGCTGGTGGTGCTGCTTACGAATTGACAGGCAAAGCTCTCTCAAAACACTTAATGTTTTTTACCATGCGGTTGGCATTCTGGGTTATAGTAGTATGTTTTCTGTGCTAAAACCTGGGACAAACTGAAAAGACGAATAGAAGATCTGCAGGCCACTGGAGGCGCACACGTAGAGTTGTATTACATTTGTACATGGTTATAAAATCTTAAGAAGTTACCTGTTATATCTGTAAATATATCTATATCCTACTATTACTCGTTTTCATACTATGCGGTTTCCTTATCTGACCAAGACTTTGTTTACACCTTGTATTATACATAGGAAATTTTGAAATTTTTACCACATGTTTATTGTCTTATGACTGTGATATTTGATCATAAAAAATGTAGCTGATAAGATAACAGAATTATGGCTTTTCTTTCAATTTATAAAATAAAAATTTGTATTTCAAATATATAATTGCCTATATCTTTTTTTCTGTAATATCATTTTAATTCTAATGATTAAAAAGTGTCTAGGTATTGTAAGGACCAAAATAAAACAATAATAATTACAATTGGTCAACCAATAAAAAAGTTGTTCAAAGTTTAAAAATGTACTAAAAAATTCTAAAAAAAAACTTAAATTATAAGTGTAAATACCTGCTTCTTGTAATCCAGAATGTTGTTGCTATAACGCAACTAGTTTCGACTTCTCACAAAGTCATCTTCGGGCGTCCAGGGGTGGTCACAATCACTTCATCAGAAGGACGTCAATACACATATTGTACATTTACACAGGAATACGAATTCAGAAACGACACACATTTATTTATAACTGATATCCTTATATTATAAGGAGTGACGTCACAGCGCTGACCGACCACGTTGACTGGCAGTCTAGACGCTACATCCATCCGGTCGTGACACATCATCGTTACCGTTGTTACCATTTTTAGTCTTTCACTGGTTATAAATAAATGTACCTTTTAATCGTTTCTAAGTTCGTGTTAGTATTCGTGTCCGTGACCATGTTCTTGTATAAATGTACAATAGGTGTACTGACGACCTTTTGATGAAGTGATTGTGACATTCCCTGGACGCCCGAAGATGACTTTGTGAGAAGTCGAAACTAGTTGCATCATAGTAACAACATTTTTGGATTACAAGAAGCAGGTATTTACACCAATTTTTATATTCAACGTAATCGGGAGGCTAACAACAACAATGAAATTAAATTATTAGTTTAATTTTATTTATTAAAATGGGAGATTTCCCCTCATCTACCCCACAGTCAAGACCTTGCTCCGAGTGACTCGCTATTTTTATAAAATGAATACTTGGTTAGCAGCACGAGGAGCTTGTGTGTCAGACTAGCTAAGATTGCAGGCGGCGGAATTGTATGACAAAAGAATTTCAAATCTTGTTCACACCAAAGATATGGGACTAAATTTGTTTGGCAACTTTGTAAAAAAAGTATTCTTCTTCTAAAATAAGTTCTTCTTTCAAATACAATAATAAATGTTTTTTCTAGTGCAATTTTTATTTTATTTAAAAACGTTCCTTACTTTCTGGATACCCCTCGTAAATTTATAAAAAACTGAAAAACATATTCTTGTTCAGTTTAGGAAATAATGTACTCCCTACAGTTTACACATTTTATCCATATTTTGGACTAGTAGCATTAAGACTACAAATGTTTAGGTCTAATGCAATAAAGGCTACAATGTTTTTAAATTATTGTTGTCAATTTTTGGGACTTAAAATAGCCTAAAACAGTATTGGTCACAGTTTTCAAATAGTCAATATCCCAGTAAAATTCTAAATAGGCAAAAAAATTAAGTTAACCACACATATTTAATATATTTATTAGTTTTCTTTGCAGTAATGTGACAAATAAACAGTCAAAAAACTCCATCTAGGAAACAACATTGATAATGTACATGTCACAACAAAATTAAGTCTGTTTAACAGAAGAAATGTCAACAATTTGGCTTGCAAGTGTTATGGTTTCTTCAACAAACTCGCAGTGTTTCTGTAAACTCTCATTGATGACATCAATTCCATAATAAGCCCCAGCGATGGCCCCAGCCATGCTAGCGATAGTGTCTGTATCACCTCCCAGTGAGATAGCGTACTGGATAGTGCGTCTGAATGGGCAGTCTGTCTGCTAAAACAAAGGGACATTATGGCAAACAATTATCATGTATTTCTAAATGTTTAATTTGTATTTTATATTAAATGTATAATCTATTGGCTAAAATAAAGTTCTTTATTCATTTTTCATTACCACATTGAGTTTGCTAGTTGGTAGTAGCTAAGTATATTTAGAGTTGCGGTTTTGTAAGAGATATCATGTCAAGGTAATTTGTGAGTTTTATCTGGATATTAATACCAACAAACTACACTTAGTTTATTGATACATACTGTGTCAGTGTCAGAACATCGCTCAAGAGGCATTTCACACACATTAGTTGACTAAAAGAATAAAATAAAACAAGAAAAGTTTTCATCGCACAAATATTACACAAAAACAAACAACAGTTAAACAAAATTGATAGGTGGCAGCTGCGCGATGCGGCACTGTCTGGGTCGGCGGGTGACGTCATGCACGTGTCTTCAGCAACCTTTCTCAGTAGCCTCAGTGGTGTAGATAGACCTTCGTCAAAGAGGGGGGGTACCGCAGGGTCCGGGAAATGACCTCGTGACCTCCTAGTAGCTGGATTACATTACTTATGGGGGAGAGGTTGGTCGGGGGAATGATATTGACTGCAATAACACATACACACACATATCTAGAGTCGCGAACAAGGGAGTCCAAAAATAGAAACAATCCAAATATCAGAACATTCTGTTACTACATTGAATATTTATAAATACCCCCGCCGCAGCAAACCTGCCGACTAAGCGAATTTCCATATGTCTGAATAGATTTTTAACCAAACCTATTTAAATAACATTAGGTTTAATGATTACCTAGGTTTGCTGCCACAAGGAAACAAATAAAGTGTATTTTTTTTGGAAAATATTAATAACTTAGTATAAAATAAATAAATTTGCCAAGTTTGATCAAAATATTTTTATAAACAAGCAAACTGCAACATTTTACAATATTCTCCATAAGAATAGCATAGGAATTTTAAATTTTAATTTTAGCGAATTTCCCTATAGGGAAGTAGCTATTACCGTAGGTCTCATGGTAAGACCTAGGCCCGGGACCGATTTACTTTTTCATTTTGATGTCCCCAGAGGCCAAAAACACCATTCGTTCAAATTTTTATATATCTATATATAGAGATATATATATATCTAATATATAAAATTCTCGTGTCACAGTGTTTGTCTGCAAACTCCTCCGGAACGACTTCACCGATCGTTATGAAATTTGGTGTGTAAATTCTGTAGGTATGCGAATCGGACGTAAACTATTTCCCGTTTCGAAATTCTTAAAAGGGCTCCGCCCCAGTGGCTCTGGAGTTTCCCATGTTAACCTTATGAGAAATGGAATTAATGAATCTTAACAGCTGTTTCAATTAAACAAGTTGGTTCTGTTCTATGATGTTCAATAGCATTAAAGTTACAAGGATTACCAACAGGGTGCAGCACTATTATTTCTTTTACATTTATGACAACAGCTAATTTGCAACCAAAAGGTGAGTGAGCGTAGCGAACGAGCTAAACTGGAGGCGAGTTAGCGTAGCGAACGAGCTAACCTGAAGGCAAGTGAGCGCAGCGAACGAGCTCCAACCCAAAGGTGAGTGAGCGTAGCGAACGAACTTCAACCTGGAGGCGAGTTAGCGTAGCGAACGAGCTAACCTGAAGGCAAGTGAGCGCAGCGAACGAGCTCCAACCTAAAGGTGAGTGAGCGTAGCGAACGAGCTCCAACCCAAAGGTGAGTGAGCGTAGCGAACGAACTTCAACCAGGACGTGATTGAGCGATGCGAACGAGATCATCTTGAAAATTAAACGTAACGGTACTTTCTTTCCATCGGTCTGTCTTAGGGGAAACCTATAACTTAGGCGATACGAAGTTCGCCGGGTCAGCTAGTATATATATATATATGTGTCCATCCGCACGATAACTTGAGTAATTTTTGTCCGATTTTGATAAAATTTGGTTTGAAGGTGTAAGGCGGGATAAACTCGAACGAGTTCGCGAACCAGCATGATCGGACTATGGGAACGGGGGTTTACTGGGGTTTTATGGGGTTTTATGGGTTTTATGGGGTAAAAATAGGTTTTTCCCATTTTTGACCCAAAAAAAATAAAATTTTGCAAAATCTTTTCAAACCATTTTGTAGAGCTTAAAAAAACAAATAATTTAGTATATTGAAGTGTTACTATGCGCCTAATGGTTACGGAGAAAATTCCAAAAAAATGTAAATTTTAAATTCCCATGTTATTCTTATGGAGAATGAGTAAACTGTTGTAGTTTGCTTGTTTATGAACATATTTTGATCAAATTTGGAAAATGTTTTTATTTCTTACTAACTATTAACATTTTACAAAAAAAGTTTTACCCTCCCTGATGCAGCAAACCTAAGTACCTAATTAAAATAATTCTATTTAAATAGGAAATAAATGTTAAATTTTTAAGTAGACATTTTAGTGTAAATCCAATCAGACATATGGAAATTCGCTTAGTCTGCATGTTTGCTGCGGCGGGGGTATTTTTAATTTTCTCCGTTACCAATAACCATACAAAAACACTTTGGTATACTAAATTATTTGTTTTTTTAAGCTATTTAAAAAGGTTTAGAGATAAATTAGAAAATTTTGTGTTTTGAGGGTCAAAAATTAGAAAAACCATTTTTTACCCTATAAAACTCCCCGTAAAACCCCGTTCCCATGGTCCGACATGCTGGTTCGCGAACTCATTCAAGTTTATCCCGCCTTACACCTTTAAACCAAATTTCATCAAAATCGGACAAAAATTACTCAAGTTATCGCGTTCACGGACGTATATATATATATGTATATATAAATCTATATATATATATATATATATATCTATATATATACTTTTGTGCCCACCCGGTTTGGCAGTCAGTGCGCTGGTAATTTACTCGGTGTGGCAGTCACCCGCCCGAAAGCCAGTCAGCTCTCCCATAAGCCAGTCAGGTATGGCTTCCCGTGCACTTTATACGTATGAAAACAGCAAACCGGTGCTGCTGCCTGTGTCGATAAGCGTAACTGCAATACCAATGCGGAGACTGTCTCATCGTGTGTTCTATCGTGGAGTAGTGTAGCCAGTACGGCACCCTACCCTACTTTGTAGCGGTAAAACCCAGCGGTATGTAACCTTCGTTTACTCCTTGTTACTATTTGTGTTGGGATAGTGATTAACTACGTGTTAATATTTAAACATGTTCATACTCCAAATAAATATGATGCACCTCTAATAAGGATCGTCGAATATTAATTAATTATAATTGGTTGAATCTTGATCCTACCCGTTCATCATCTCATATTTTAAGTTATTTTGATTTTTTTTACCTTCAGTTGAAATTTGAGTCAACTTCTCCTTTATACAATATTTTTTATCCTAGCATTTACAGTGTTTCCACGGACCGGGAACTATACGGATTTTCTTTATCTCGAGAAATATACGTGAATCTTGTCCGAGATACTGGAACTGTTTTTTACGCAATTGCGTAACGCGAAGGAGTAACTATTACATATGACAACGATATTATTCTATCTGATAAGAATAACCATGAAACTACACTCGAAAGATAAAATATTTTTATAATAATTTCAATTTTACAAACAAACTATTACAGGAATTATATTTTGGGACGGATGAATGATAAGGAAGCAACAAAAAGTGGTCACGAGTGCAAATACGGTGGGGGGAGGGGGGTACAATATAACGAACGCCAGAAACGATTATTTGTTTACTTTTCAGATTCCTTATCAAATCTCTCTCTCTCTCTCTCTCTCTCTCTCTCTCTCTCTCTCTCGCTCTCTAACAATGTACAGATTGTGGACTTTACGATTTAAGTTTTCCTGCAATTATTTCAGTTCAATCCCATACCTATCCTTATGGTTTCCTATCTATTATTTTTCAAAATAAATAGTAAAGCAGGTTAAACTATTTTTTATTTTATTTTCTTGAAACCAAACACTCTTTACCATCCGGTATTCTGCAGAGTCAAATGTTTAACACTGTGTTTATAAAAATTGAATGGCCACACAATTTTGTGTTTATTTTTTTTTTACTAATAGTAACTGGGATATTTATATATACCAATAAGTGCTGCAAGCTGTAATAAATGCTGCTGATTAATATCAAAAAAAGTTATAATTTATTTTGTATAATACATCGGTCATTGAATACAAACCATAATGGGTTATCTATTTGTAACTTTAACTTGCAAATACAGTAGAACCTTGCTTAACTGGAGTCGCATCATCATGATGCCTATATATTATATAACCTCACAAATCCCAAGAAAATGTTTTATTAACTGTGTTTTTCAGTCTAATATTTCGATATGAACGATATATTTTACTATTTACGGTAATTTTTATGTGCAGTAGGTTCCCAATTATTGAAATATTACAGTTCATTTAACAAAAATAAGATGGAAGCAAAACGGAGAAATATCGATCAGTATCGTCAAGGTCAACCTATACGCTCGCACCTACAGACTGACAATCTTGCACTGACACTGACATACTGACAATCATCTGCTTCTGTCTGCTGTCACAACACTACAATATTTTGTGGTTGGGTCGTTGGGTGATTAGTAACCATGACAACTTGTGGATGTAGAGAAACCAATGAAAGAATAGAACAAAGAGAAATAATAAGAGGTGTTTTACATCATTTTTATCTTTATCTTATTTTTATCATTGTTATTATTACCAGAAAGACTTAAGTACAGTACTATGATTTTATGGTGTTTTATGAGTTATTTAATATTTTTATCCCCATACTTCTGTTCTGAAACATCATGTAGTAGTAGCCTAGGATGACTACGGTATCAGTAGTCTTCTAGTCTACATTTTCATTTTGTTTTGTTCTTTACGTGATTTACTACTGTACAGTAAGCAAGTTTTGTTTTGTTTGAGTAAGCATACGGTGTAGTTTTTATTAGTAAACCAAGGTTAATGACTTAACATATCACGGTTGCGCAATACCTATTGTATTTTGACTATGTAAAA